GAGAGAGAGAGAGAGAGAGAGAGAGAGAGAGAGAGAGAGAGAGAGAGCTGCAGCATGCAGCATGTCAGTGGCGGGACCTCCAACAAAAAGAAGAAGTAATTTTATCGGAATACAAGAGTTTTTTCTTTTCGAAATCCGAGTAGAAAGGGTACAGATTGTATTCGAATACAACGGGTGTGTTTTCTATTCGAGGAACTCTGCTATTCGAGAAAAGTGGACCCGCACCGTTTCAATTTCGAAAAAGGACTCCGGCCTGCTCGGCCTCCTATGCGCAGCTACCGGTCCTACGCGGTCCTGGACTAAAACCCGTGCGGTTCCACGGGCAGCTACCGGTCCTGCAGTTTCAAATAAGATGCCACCACCCCCTAAACTGCCATGCCTTGTTTTTCCAGCCTTTACCACGAAAAATGTTCTCAGGGGCATAAAACGGGCTGCGAACTGGTAAACCTGAATTCGAACCTTGCCTTGAATCAGACGAACAAAAATAACTCGGAAGAGGCTGGAGCCCGTCAGCTCAGCGATGATACCTCAAAGCAGTTGCCCTTTTCTTTACTTTTTTTTTGTTTTTTCCCCTCTTCAAATGCTCTCTTCGACCCAAGAGCCTAGCTCAGTGGGTACACCAATGAACAGTTTAAAATGCAGACCCGTGTTCGGGTCCAGATGATGGAACTTGATGAGTGAAACAAACTATTTCTGAATTGCCTGGGGCCGGCAGCTCAATGATGAGTTAAAAAAAAAGAGAAAAAAAAGAATGCTCTCTTCAACAGTACTACTTTGTTTTCAAAACAGGGGGGCTAGACAATTTGTTCTCTCTCTCTCTCTCTCTCTCTCTCTCTCTCTCTCTCTCTCTCTCTCTTCACCGAACAAACTACGGGCTGCGCACCCGTGCCCTCACGGTAAGTCAATCGGACTAACTGGCCTGAGGTAATCATGAGTTTGTTGACGACTCGTACTTAGGTAATCCTGAGTTAGTGAGGACTCGAACTCCTCCCCTCTGTTTATCACATATGCCGGTTTTGCTCTTCTTGAGACGTTAGCACGTACCACCATCCAGATGCGAACACTTCCTTTGTTTTTTACTACCGTAGCAGACACATGTGTGTACCCTGCCGCCCGAAATGGGACTGATTCATTTCCTCGCTCGTTACCTCGCGTTTGGGTCTCGCTCCACTACTCAAAAAATGTGCAAAATGAGAACGAATCTTCCGCTAGAACACGGGAAGATGCACCTCCATATTTTTTGTCGTTTGTGCGTGTGGAGACTAGTGGAGCGAGGCCCTTTGCTTCTTCGTGCTATCGTCGTGGGATTTGAATTTGAATTGAACTAAGCGGAGCTGAGTCGGACGTCGGGCGCCATTTCGCCGCCTTCGCCTCCAATTCGATGATGTCGATGATGATGCGTTGATGGCGGATGAGCGAAGTGGTCATTCTCATTCCAGAGCTGTCGTCGATGGTGCCACAAGCGGCAGGAGCGCCTCCATTGATTTGATTTGTCCAAGCGGTCTGCGGCTGCGGCAAGGGGCGGGAGCTCCCCTTCCCCCCTTCCCCGTGCATTGCGGTAGGAGCTCCCCTTCCACTTGCACTGTGCTAGGAGCCTCCATTCCGCTTGCATTGCGCTTCCCCTTGCAGCGCGGCAGGAGCTCCCCTTCAGCTTGCGTTGCGGCAGGAGCTCCCCTGCCCCTTGCATAGCAGTCAGCTGTTCGTTCCCTTTGCATTTGCATTGTTGTTGCCGATTGCAAGTGCGCGACGTAGCGGTTGGCGCAAGGTGACGCAAGGTGGCGCAAGGTGGTGCAAGGTGGCGCAAGGTGACGAACCCGCTTTCATCGATCGACACATCCATCGGTCATGATCGTGTGCATGTTGGATTTCTGAATCAGCGAGTTTGTAAATATGCAACCCTTAAGTAGGGGGGGATTCCGAGAGACAAGGAGCGGGATTACAAGTCGGTTTCTACTTTTTTTCTCAAATCTGCAAACACGGCAACACAGGAAAGAAGCCGAGCGGCGGGAATGAAATCGGGGCATTCGGAAGGGGCGCCAACTCCCGCGGAAGGCGCGCAAGGAGGGGAAGAGAGTAGTGGGGGTGGTGCGGGGAAAGGCCTGAACGGCGGTGGAAGCAGTGATGACGAGGGGGTCGGCAAGCTAGCGGGGGTTGAGGACGGCAATCTAGAGGCAGCGGACCGAGGAGGAGGAGGAGGAGGAGGAGGGGGAGGAGGTGGAAGGGGTGGGTCTATCTTGCCCTTGGCAGCGAATGACCGAGAAGCCTCCGCCGTCCCCGCCTCCCCCGGCGTCTCCGGCGCCAGAGCTGTTGTTGCGCAGGCAACTCCCGTGCGAACAGGAAGAACCTCCCCGGCCGTAGGAGATCCCCCTCCAGTCCGATCTGGTGGGCCCATGTCGTCCCCCGGGAAAGCGCCGCCTGCCGGCGCAAATGCGCCTGCCCGTGCTCCACCGCCTCCCCGTGGCCCTCCTCTCGCCGACAAGCGCGCTAGTCGCGAGGCTATCATCCAGATGGCCAAGCAGCTCTCCCTGGAATCTGCCGATAAGCAGCAGCCCGAACAATGGGGCCTGCTCACCGCCCTCTCTCCTCTTGCCAAGAAGCAGAGGCATGGGATCCATATCCATCTTTATCGATCTGAGCACGTCTTCGGGCGTGTAGTGCAGGATGCCACGTGTCGGATCCTATCGGCCAGCGTGAGCGGGCATCACTTCAAGATCGCGGCTCATCCGACGGCAAAAGGGGGCGACAGCGCGGAGAAGGCGGAGAAGGGGGAAGAGGGTCGAGGAGGGGGGTCATCAGCGGCAGCGGCAGCGGCAGCTGCGGACGAAAGGCAGACGATGGAGGTATTCGTCCAGGACATGAGTTCCAACGGTACCTTCGTCGATGGGCGGCGGCTGCTGAAGAACGGGCCTTTGGAGAAGATAGAGCATGGTGCTATCCTCTCGCTCGTGGGGCCGGCAGGAGCCGACGGATCGTTCGCCTATGTGTTCAGGAGAACGGTCCCATCTTCTTCTTCACTGCCAGGTAGCAGGAGCGATGGGGGTGGGGGTGAAGCGGAGGGGGTGGGAAGTGTCGCCGCTCCGTCACCTGCGCATCTCCCTACCCCAGCAGCAGTACCACCTCCTCTCTCCTCAGGTCGGCCTTTGCCGCATCAGGTGGGCGACGACTTGCGAGGCGCGCTTGCGCTCGTGTCTTCTTCCAACAAGCGCAAGGGAGCGCCGAGGGAGGAGCAGGAATCGGGAGGAGAAGACCACCTCCCTCTCCACCCTAACGGCAGCAACAAGCGAATGCGACCGTCGTCGGCCGCCGCAGCAGTTGCAGGTGCAGAAGCAGCAGCTGGAGGTGGAGGAGGAGGAGGAGGAGGAGAGGAGGGTCCTGTTTACCTGGGTGATGTGAAGCGGTTGCAGAGAGCGAATATGGAGTTGAGGGAGGAGCTTAGGCAGAAGATGCTAGCGCACGAGGAGCTGAAGAAGGCGAAGATGGAAGCTGAGCTGGCGCAGGAAGCGCAGCTGAAGGAGCAAAGGGTGGAGATCGAGAGGAAGTGGTCGAAGAGGGTGGAGGAGGTGGAGAGGGAATTGGGAGAGAGAGGGGTGGAAGTGGACGCGGCGAGGGCGGAGATTGCGGAGAAGGAAGCGCAGGTGCAGGATCTTCAGCAGCGTCTAGAGGCGTCAGCGCGATCGCGCACCGACGCGGAAGAGGTAATCGAGTCTCATCTGGCGCGAAATAGTCAGCTGGAGACGGAATTGGAGGATGAGAGAGCGGCGCGGGCGGCGGAGAGAAGAGAGGCGGAGGAGCTACAGCGGCAAGCGGTGGAGAGAGTGCGCGCCGAGTCCAGCGAAGAGCTGCGGCGGAGAACCGAGGCTTTCGCGCGCCAGCACCAAGAGCAGGCGGAGGAGATCGGACGGCTGAAAGACTCCATCAGGGAGCTGCGCGGATTGAACGACAGCCTGCGAGCGAAGGTGGAGAGGGAGAGGGAGGTCCTCCTCGAGTCGCAGGAGCAGAGCAGGAGGGCGCAGGCGCTGCTGGATGAAGAGAAGGCGGCGATGTCGGCGATGAGAGAGAAGATGGCGGACACGAGCGCAACCATAGCCGCGCTGAATGCCAGGCTAGAGGGAGAGAGTGCAACCTTGGAAGCTTCCAGACAGACCGTGCGGAAATTGGAGATCGATATCGAGGGACTGAAGCAAAATTTGGCTCTGAAGCAGCAGAAATACGACGGCGCCAAGGAGCTCATCACACTCAGAGAGTCGCAGCTGCGGTCCTTTGAGCAGCTGTCGGTGGAGATTGCGATCTTGCAGGCCAAGCAACAAGCACAGCTGGCGAATATGCTGAAGGTCACCGACGGCGGGGATTGGAAGAGCAATGGGTGGGGATCGTGTGTGAACAGAGCAGGACGAGAGAGAAGAAGAGGAGGAGGAGAGAGAAGAGGAGGAGGAGGAGGAGAGGGAGACTCAGGAGGGGAGGAAGTAGAGGACTCTGAAGATGCATCCGATGGCTGTAGGCTCTTGAACAGGGATCGAGGTCATCATCATGATATAAGGCTGTCGGGTACAACGGCAACCTCTGGTCTTGCGACGATTGCCAATGCGGGTAAGAAGCATCAAGGGGAGAAAAAAGGGATTGGGAGGAGGCGGAGGAGGGGGCGCGGAGAGAGGCTCTTCTTGGAGGACGACGGGAGGGAGGGGGAGGAGGATGTGCAGTCTCTCGCGAAGGCGAGTCTGGGGTTGGCACTAGGAAGGCAACGACGATCAGCAGGAGGGAGAAGGAGAGGAGGGCTTGTCCAAGACAAGCCTTTTTGGGGGGAGGGGGGGGAGGGGGGGAAGGGGGGAAAGGGTGCGAGCAGTCGTGGAGACTCCTCTGTGAGAGAAGAGGAAGATGATGAGGGGGGCGGTGATGGGGATCATCATAGTTGGGCCGATACCCAAGAAGGGGAGGAAGGCGAAGACGGACTACAGGTGGTGTCAACTCTGCTGGCCCATCCTCCCTCTGCGGAGGGGGAGGGGGAAGCTTCCTTGGTCGGTCGCGATGGAGATGGAGATGGAGATGGGTATGAAGATGGCTATGGAGATCGAGGAGGAACTCAACAGGTGGGCGTAGGCGATGATGGGTGCGCAGACCCTGCGGAAGAAGAGACTCAAGTAGACAGAGAAGAGGGTGACGTGATGATGCAGCATGAAGGGCAAGAGACCGATCAGGAGGAGACGCAGGGCGGAGAGAAGGAGAACGAAGGGATGGAGGGGGGTGAGGATGAGGATGGTGGAGCGACGCAGGCGTTGGATATGGCGGAAGCAATGGATATAGAACTGAGGGCGGAGGAAGGGAGGAGCCTCCTCCAGAGGTGCCGTCGGAGGCGAGGGGAGAGCGGAGGAGGCGATGAGTCGGGGGAGGAAGCTGCCATGGGTGTGGGAGATAAGAAGAGAGAGGGTTCGGAGGAGGAAAGGGGGCCGGCGGTGGGGGACGGAGCGCAGGGAAGCGCAGGGGGAAGAGGGGCGATGGAACGGGCGGCGGCGGGAGACGGAGGTAGTGGTCCCCACCATGTGCGCGCATTGTTCCTAGATTCCGCCGAGTCTGATCTGGCAGCCGCGACGCAAGTACTCACGCAGCAGCAGCAGCAAACCTTCACACAGCTGTTGGGGTCCGATCAGCAGCAGCTTGGCGCGCAGGAGGACGAACCCACCAACCAATCGCTGCTGCTGGGCAATGACCAGGGGGGGGCAAGATGGCGGGGAATGGGTGAGGACGGCGTCAGCTCGGCGAAGGGAGAGGAGGGAGAGGAGGAGAGCGAAGCGGCAGACGAAGGAGAGGAAGATGAGGAAGAGGCAGACAGCGAGGAGAACGAGAGGGAGAAAGAGGACAAGAATGAGGAGGGGGAGGGGAGAAAGGATGCCAGCCGAACATCCACTCCTTTGCCTTTCTCAAAGACTATTTTGTCCGTTACTGCCAGCAATGCAAAGAACCGTACTCCTGAAATAGGGGGAATAGGAGGAGGAGGAGGAGGAGGAGGAGGAGGAGGAGTTGTGGGGATGGAAGAGACGCAAAGTCCAATGGCAATTGACACTGTGGATGAATCTGGACGCGCACATGGGTTAGTTGCGGATCGGGGACCAGCATGTGTGCTGGGAGCCGAAGGATCGCTGAAGGACAGCGATCGCGTCTCGGATACGCAGCAGGTTGAGGGTGGGGATGGAGAAGAGGAGGTGGTGGGTAGTATGAGGGGAGGCGCACGCGTTAGGTCGACCGCCCTGGCGTTGGGCAGCCGAATTATGGTGGGAAGAAATGGCAGCCAGGGGGGATGCACCGAACGGTCATCAGAGCCAGGGAAGACCCAAGGAGTGAGCGGAGAGGGAGTGGGAGGAGTGGGAGGAGTGGGTGGAGTGGGAGGGGGCTCTGTGATCGCCATCGCCACGAACGGACACGTGGCTTCGGGAGGTGCTTATCCAAGAGGAGGTGCAGATGCGCGTGAAGCGGAGAAAGGAGAGGACAAGGTGGGGAAGAAACGGGAAGAAGAAGGGGAGCGGGAGGAGAAGAAGGGAGAGAGGGAGGGGAGAGAGTTTAGGGGTAGTGGAGAACATAAGGGAGGGGAGAAGTTGTTTAAATGGCCTGGGGGGGATATCGACGACGATGATGATGACGAGGAAGATTGCAGCGATGAGGATGCTGATGAAGACAGAATTGGAGATAGCCTAGAGGGAGACGATGGCGATGGTGATGACGTCAAAGCTGCGGCTACGAGTGGTGATGAGGAGGGAGAAGAGGAGAAAAAGGAGGAGCATGAGGGGGACGAGGAGGAGGAGGAGGAGAGTGCTACTGCTTCCTTAACAAGACGCAGCAAGCTGAACGTTGCGATAGAGATAGAGGAAGGCGGCAACAGGGGTCAGGAGCAGCGTCGATCGACGGCCGAGATCGGGAGCTCTGAAATGAACGGTGGTGGTGGTGGGGGTAATAATGGTGCTGGATTGTTGGGGGAAGCAGCGCATCGGGATCGCGATCGCGATGCTGACGTGTCTGCGGATAAGGAAAACGCTGGCCAAGGCGATGATGGCAGGAACCGCGGGAATCCCATCGCCAACAGGAGGAATACAGAAAACGGGCGTGCCATTGGGGTTGTCACAATCGAGGATGATGATGATGATGATGATGATGATGATGATGGTGGTGGTGCTGCTGCTGGTAAAGGGGGGAGCAATATCCGCAATCGTGAAGGGGAGAAGAGGAGCGTAACAGCAGGAGGAGGGGGAGGAGGGGAAGGAGGAAAAGCGGGGGGGAAATCGAGTGCAGCAGCAGCAGCAGCAGGAGGAGGAGGAGGAGGAGGAGGAGGAAAGGCGTTGACGGAAGTGCGACGGCGGGTAGACACGGCGGAATGTGCAGCTGGGAACATGATGACGACAACAAGAGGTGCAACGGCAGGAGTGCCAGGAGTAGGCGGGGAGGGTAGGAGCGGAAGAGGGGGGGATTCGTCAGATGAGGGGAGAGCGGCAGAGGCCGCTGCTGGATCTGGGGGCGCAAAGATCTGGCGGCTGGCATCGTCTACTGAGCGGAATAAGAGCGGTTGCAGCGGTGGTGGCGGGCCAGAGCCTCTGTCAAGCAAAACGGGGGTGTCGGGATCCGGACCGCCTTCGTCCCCTGACCGTGCCAAGAGCGCCACCAGCGGTCTTCACTCTGTGAGCAGCGGCCATCACTCTGTCCGTGGAGCAGAGGGTGGTGGTGGCGGAGGAGGAGGAGGAGGAGGAGGAGGACTATGTAGTCCTTTGCAGGGAGGAGGAGGAGGATTTGGGAGAAGCAGTAGAGATCTCGTTCGTAAGGCTGCTGGGAATGAGCCAGCGAGTGCCCAAGATCAGATCGTGGTCGTCGATCAGATGATCCATATGCTTAATCCTGGGGCATTTGGGAGGAGTGGAGGTGTAGGGGGAGGGGGAGGCGGAGGTGGAGGTGGAGGGAGGGGGATTTATGGGAAGGGAGGTAGTAGTGCTGGGGGGTATGGAGGAAGAGGAACAGTAGGAGCGGCGGCAGCAGCAACCCTTCGAGAAGGTTCTGAAAATTACCGCAGGTATTATGGGAGACGGGGAGGGGGAGGAACAGGGGTGGGGGGAGGGACATTGGGAGGGGGRGGGGGAGGGAGGAGTGGTGGCAGTGGACTCCAAGTAGGAAGAGGGGGATACGCTAGGCAGGGAAGTCGTTAGCAAGAGAGAGAATAACAAAAAAACCACAACTTCGCAAAAAAAAAAGAAGGAAAAGGCAGCAGGGTTTCCCACTGCTGCTCCTGTCTGTGAATGCTCAACCCGAATTTGGTCGTTTTTCCTTCGTTTGCTTGTTTCTGCTTTTTCTTTGTTTGTCTGTTTGGCGTCGGAAGAAGAAGATTGTCTTTAAGTCCTTCGTCCCTATAGACAAAATCTGCTCTGCTGCTCTCTCTTTCAGAGAGGAAGGTCACATACACAAACACTCGTGAATTGTCCTTGTCTTTCTTCGACCATTGGATGGCACAATGTTGCTGTGTCCCTTATTTAACAAGGAGTTGGACCCACGCAACACACATATGCCTCGGAGAGCAGGAATATATCTGATATCATGTGACAATATATATATATCGTCATATATCGTCAAACAGAGCTGCCTGGCAAACCGTAGGCAGAGAGGGAGAAGAGGACAACAAACGAGGGGCTGTGACAAACTGTTTTGTCGGAGTATGTATAGATGTGTATATATAGATGTGTATATATAGAGATACTAGATTAACTATGCCTATAATAAGAGCTTGCTCCGTCAAATTTGTTCCACTTCAACTGTCTGAATGCAATTGGTGTATGTATGTAAGGCTCACGGGGGTTGGGGCAGCCGCCGCTCAACCACATTCACATGGGCGGCCTTGATATCTTTCTTGTTTCCTTACGTTTTTTTTTTTTTTTTTTTGTTGTAATTTCGCTTTTGCGCTCTGATATCTTTGTGATGATATATAGGGTTCAGCCTCCTGACGAGTCAGTCGGTGAAACTCCGACGAAACAGTTTGTCACAGACCCTCGTTTCTTGTCCTCTTCTCGCAGCTCTGTTTGACAATATAAAGGGCCTCGTTCCACTACTCGCCATCCGCCACAAACAGTGGCGAGACTTGGCAAGGCCGAAAACTGCATTTTTCTGGCGGAAAAAGGGTCTTGGTTCCATTACATCGCCGCCGCCACGTGCCCTGTGGTTGCTGTCCTTTTTCCTGGTTCCATTACATCGCCGCCGCCACGTGCCCTGTGGTTGCTGTCCCGGCCTGCTCCCCGGACTGTGGCGGATGGTGAGCTAATGGAACGGTGGCTGCCTTCTCTTCACCATGTACTCCGACTGGAAATCACTCCAGGTGCAGCTAAAACTTGCCAACACTAGGGGACAACGCAGGTAGACTGTCAGGATGGCTGTGTCAGAGGCAATGGCCACACGAAGCATTTCGCAGAGGGGTGAGGAGTAGAGCCTCCACGAAGGGCCGTTGCAGGCAGGGGATATGGAAAGCCTTGGCGGCACATCGCCAAGTGATTTCACACCCAAATTCTGACAGCCTCCATTTCGTGGCTATTGGCGATGCAGTGGAACCAAGTCGCGTCCGCCATGCGTGGCGGATGGCGAGTAGTGGAACGAGGCCCAAATACTGATGGGTCGGTGAAACTCCGACAAAACAGTTTGTCACAGCCCCTCGTTTGTTGTCCTCTTCTCCCTTTTGTCCCTCTCTGCCTACCGTTTACCGAGCAGCTCCTCTGTTTGACGATATATATACATATGTGCAGTATCATTAGTTAGGGGACGCTGCAGAGTGAGTGCAAGGGTTTAGCCTCCTGGTGAGTCGGCGAAACTCCGGAGAAACAGTTTTTCACAGGCCCCTGCTCCCTGTTTCTTGTCCTTCTCACCCGTTCTGCCTACGGTGCACTGGGCAGTTGTATGTTTTATATATATATATATATATATATGTGCCTCTAGTGCCAGGGCGTGTCTGGAGTGTATTTTTTGGCTGTGACAGACCTTTCTTTGTTTCGTGGGTGTTTTGCTGGCTTGTGATGGGGTGTGAACGGACAGTCTGTAGAGTTTTCCATCTGGTGTGGGTGAGTGATAGTCTACTTTGATTTTGGTTAAGGTGGATTATGACTTACAGTGTAATCAGTGAGGGGATTCTGCAGACTGTTGAGGGTTCAGCCTTCTGATGAGTCGGTGAAACTCCGACGAAACAGTTTGTCACAGCCCCTCGTTTGTTGTCCTCTTCTCCCTCTTTGCCTACGGTTTACCGGGCAGTTCTGTTTGACGATATATATATATATATATACTGATGAGTCTGTGAAACTCCGACAAAACAGTTTGTCACAGCCTTGGTGCTATTGTTTGTTGCCCCCTGTTTTGTTGTATTTGGCTGTTCCCTTCCTCTTTTCTTTGCCTCTTTGCCCTTCGGCTGTGTGCAAGTGGGTCAATATGACACACGGGGGTGGGGGCAGCCGCCGCTCAACCTACATCCACGTATCCACGTGGGCGGCCTTGTATGCAAGAGGTTCTGAACAGGGGGAGTTGTAAGGAAGAAGATATAAAAAAACGAATTAATTTTTTTTTTGTTGTCTTCTGTTTTTTTTTGCCTTTGCGCTCTGATATTCATGTGACGATATATATGTATATATATGGTGAGTCGGTGAAACTCCGACAAAACAGTTTGTCACAGCCCCATTGTACAGTTGTCCGTCGACCCTGTGTGTGTTTTGAACCAAACCCACGACCTGTCCCTAAAAACGTGTACAAATGTTTTGTGTGTGTGTGCAGCTTGGGTCGTGTGGACTTGATCCGTAGGTTAGATGTTTAGGAGTCCTAAGGGTCGTCTGTAAGTCCTCTGAAAGGTCACTAGGTCGTAGCTAGAACAGTCCTCGAAGAGTCAACTTGACCTCTCGCAGACTGAAAGGGCAGTCCGTCGATCTCTGAAAGGTCACGAGTCCCAAGTCAAAGACCGAAGGGGCAAACGAAAGGGCAGTCGCGGTCCAGTCTGTTTTTGCAGCAAGTACCAGAGTGGGACTGCACGTCCAAGGGCCTGGGACATCGAGCAGGCCCAGACCATCAAACGAAACAGTATAAATAAAGCAGCAGCGATCGGTCATTCACTCATTATCTGGGGAACTACGTGGAAGTGCTGCTCGAGTGACTTGTGCGTTGAGTTCGCCGGTGGTCAGCAGGAAGCACGAAGGTGGAAGAGGGCGAGCGGCCATAGCCGCTAGTGAGGAGGAAGACGACAGCGGCCATAGCTGCCAGTGTGACGAAGTCAGTAGTTAGTTTGTGTGTGTGTGTGTGTGTGTGTGTGTGTGTGCGCGTAGACATTCAGGGTAGATCCTAGTATGTGTGAGTGAGTGTGAGTGTGTCTGATGGTGGATACAGTATTCGGGTGGGAATTTCGGACTGGAGCTCAGCCGCCATAGCCGCACGATGTGTGACAAGTTGACTTGAGCTGAGTTCCTGGCCGAAGGCGATCGTATCTCCGAGTTTTCTGTGTGGGCGCACAGCGTCATCTCACACTTCTTGCTGATTCTGCTTGGAGGAAGTTGTTTTGCCACTCAGCACCGGCATGTATGCATGCTGGAAGTGAAATCGAGACAAGTCTGATTGCAGTAGAAGCCAGGCTGAGGACAGATCCATCTCAGAGTCTACTCTATGATGACTTTGCAGCAGACAATAGGTAAGAGTTTTTGCAGCACACGTTGTTGCGGGAGGAGAAGGATATAGCGCATTCGAGTGTCAAAGCTTGCGTTTTCCTTTTGGAACAAAAAAAAGGGGTGATGGCGAGTTGTGGTAGGGTTACCTCTTGTTTGGAAGATGGTGCGGCCGTGCAATTGGTAGACTTCCTCCAAGATTCGCTCTAGCATCCACCCTCGTAGGGGTCCCTGGGTAGCGGAATGCCATGGTCGCACTGTGAACTGATCATGCCTTGATCCCATGCGCGGCATTTTGAAAAGAGAAACAGTGTGAAACCACCGTTCTTCGCAAATCGCGATTCGGGTGCTTGTCCTCCCTTTTGTTGTGACCCTTGTCGCCGTCCTGTCCCTCACCCTCCTCCTGCCCTTGCTGTCGTCGCTCTTGTCCTCGTTGTTGGGGCTGCCTTGCCCTTCCCCTCCCTCCCTTTTGGGGGAATTGTACTTGTTCCTTCTTGTCTCTTTTTTTTTGAAGCTTTGCCCTCTCGCTTTCGATCGTTTTTCCAACTGTGTCCCTCGCTCTCCTTGTCGAACCTTGTCGCTTGTCCCTTGTTGGTCCTTTTTCCACCACGTCCGTTCTTGTCCTTTTCAAAGTGTGTCCCTGTCCCTCCACGTGCGCTGTTTCTTCAACTGTGTCCCTATGAGCTTAAGCTTGTCGTCCCTCCTCCTCCCTCAACCCTGGTTGTTGCCTGTCTTCATCCTCAAGCTCAACGTCTCTTATACTCGCATGTCAATTTCGGGAGTCGGACCACCCTCTCTTTTGCGGCGGGTCTTTTTTTTTCCTTCTTTCCCTCTCTCTCTCTCTCTCTTTTGCGACTCACCATGAAGATGCCGGCTTGGCTTTTGGCTGTTGATGTCACCTTGGACCGGCGAGAGGGAACTTGAGAGTATTCTCTCTCTTCTGACGAATTGGCGGCGCTGACCGATCTTGAAGGTTAACCAAGCGGTCACAAGAGTTCAAAACCTGGTCAAGGCAGCAAATTATGTTAGAAGCTATCGGATCGGCTTTTTTTTTTTCCTCTCCTTCTTGCCGCTCTGTGAACGCAGCGGAAATTTTAAAGCAGAAACACTGATCATTTCATTACTTGCCAGTGTTGTCACACCTTTATGCCCGGGATGGGGCGGGGCCTCCTCCGCAGATGCGCAATTGTGCTTCAAATTTCAGTTCTTCCTTTGTTGTGTACATGCAGCAAGACAAAAAAATGATTGACAAATATTTGAACCGCTAGCACCTTTCCCATATGTGTTGGCCGGGGCCCCTGCGCGGCGATCATTTGGGATGCATCGTCTGGCCGGCGCACGTGCCCGGAGCCGGCCTCTGTGTTAACCGGCGGGCAAGTGTTTTTTTGCCTAGGAAAGGTACAGGCAGTTTGAACCAATGAACCACCAGTACTTGGCCCAGCTATCAATGCCCGAGCCGACCGACCCCCTGCGCGCCAAGTTTTGCCGAACCGCCAGGACGTCGTTTCGAATGTGTTGTGGTCCGGTACCCCGAAGCCCTGCAGGCGCGGCGCGTTAATGGGGATACG